CACGATCCGACCCTGCGACCCTGACGCTGCTGCTCTAGCTATCAGACATGCGCTGCTGACTGCTGCCACAATGTGCGACCGGTGCTGGCCCACTTGGCGGCCTTCCCGGTCAGTGGTGAGGCGCATGCAGTTCAGAGCTGTCGATGGCGCGATGCCGCACTGGTCCCACATTGGTGACACGAGACCACCACGTTTGCCGGTCCAAGAGAGAGGCACCGGCGCTGTCGTGAGAAGGTGCATGGTCCCTCTTGACTGCCCATGCGCGCGAGGCTGTGTAGGCATAGCCTCGAGAGTGCCAGCAGCCAATCTGAGGCAGTTTGTGACGGGCATCTTGGTACCATTGGATGTGAGATGCGTCAGAAGCGTGCACGCGCTGGAAGGACACTTTCCTACTGGCCGCACGATCAGGTCGTCACTGAATGCTGGATACTAAGGCCGCGAGCTATGCAGGTGGTCAATTGTGCAGCAGGGCACGGTCAGCAGCGCCGACAGGGCGTCGCAAGGCGTGATAGCATGCATGGCCGCAAGTACGGCGAATTCCCATGAAAACCAGTGAAAAATGGCGCAAAAAAACTGAAAAAATCGGGCCTGCGGCGGGCTGGGGGACCCCATCTCCCCCCCGCGTTGGTACCCCCTAGGGCCCCCGCCTCCCCCCAGAGGCCCTTCCCGCTTCCGCCTTCGTGCGCGCGAGAGAGAATATTGCGCGGCGTTTTTGCACGCCCCGGCCGCGCGCCGGTCGCCCCTGCGCGCTGCGGCAAGTGTGTGTGTTTTTTTGGCCGAGCTGCCTCGGCGTGGGCGTTGCCCGCGGCGGCCTGCTTTCTCTTTTCGCACAAACACGATTGAACGTACTGACGAGTCCCAGAGTGGGCGCGCACAAACTGTGAGACGCACACACCGACGAGGACCACCGTGTCCACACGACCCACCTTTCCCCCTCTCCTGGTTACACGCGGCGCTGCGCTACTGCTTCCACCGGTAGGCGCACTTGGTGCACATAAAGATCAGCTTCATCCCCTCGTCCGACTTCATCGGCGCCTGGAAGAAGACCGCCTCGGTGTGGCCGCACGAGTTGCACTCTGTGCCCGAGGCGCGCGGCAGCGTCGGGTCGGCGACGGTGTCGGCGCCCGCCTCGCTCAGCCCCCCCTCGGGCCTCATGTCGTTCACGTGCACCAGGTTCGAGTCGGCGTCGTCCAAGCGCATGCAGTGGCGGCACTCGCGCTTGAGCGTGCGCGACGCCTTGTCCTCCTTCGGGTGCAGCATGTTGCCGCACTCGGGGCAGATCCAGAAGGGCGTCTGGCGCGAGGCCGAGCCGTTGTCGGTTATCAGCCTAGCCGGCCCGCCCTGCATCGCACTGTGGGCTGCTCAACGCGCTCGCGCCGGCGCTCACCGAGCTAGGGTTCCGGCTCCTGGCCGGATAGGGGGACTGCCGAAAAATGTTCGCGGTTTTTTTAAAACGCCCCCCCCCCCCCCCCCACCCCACCCCACAAGAAAAACCACCCCCTACCACCACCACCTTCCTACCTATTGCGGGGCCCTCTGGGACGGTCAAAACCGGACCTACCTACCTATTGCATAGCCATAGCGCATAGGGTCCAACGGGGGTGGGTGTCAACGTGTCAACAGACCCCCTATCCGGCTTGGAGCCGGAACCCAGGGGCGCTCAGCAAGAAAAGAATTTTAGAATCGGCTGCATCGCACGACACTGGGCAGGGGACTGGCGCGCACTGGCACTCAGGTACACAAGAAAAGAATTTAGAAGTATTTCACAACAAACAAAACTCCCTCGCACGACAGGCACGGGATGGCGCGCACTAGCACTAACGCACACGATGGCGCGCACTAGCACTAACACACGTCCCGTGCAAGTGTGTTAGTGCTAGTGCGCGCCAGTCCCGTGCAAGAAAAGAAGTTCGCCGCGATTTCTCGAGGTTCTCGAGCGCGCCTTAAAAAGAGTTTGAAGCAAAGCCTCGCACAAAACAGGAAAACATTAGAACAAATCTCGCTCGCACACGCACGAGATTCACACAGTAGGCAAAGCCGCGCGGACGACGGCTGCTAATAGAAGCCGTCGTCCTCACAAAAGCGAAAAGGCGTCGTCCTCACAGGAAGGCGTCGTCGGAATGGCAGTCATGCGGATGGTCAAATCCGCGAGCACCGTGGGGTGCTCGCCGAAAAGACCATCCCCGCCTCCTTCCACTCCCCCCCCCCCCCTCTCGCCCCCGCCGCGCCCCCCGCCGCTCCCCGCCGGCGATCGTGGCGGGACTTCCCCAGAAAAAGAATTTAAACAAAACAACTCGCTCTCACAGCAGACAGGCTCGACACAGGTGCGGACTGGCGCGTGCTAGCACTATCAGCTATCACAGAGCAAAAAGAATTTTAGAACCACTCCCTCTCACAACACAGACACGGGACTGGCGCTGGCAACAAACCACCGCCGAACGACGCCAGCCAGCCAGACGACGACTTCACAGTTATGGACATAGACGAAGAGCAGCCAGAGGACGAGGCATCCCGGCCGCCGGGAAGCGGGGGCGGTTTGAGAATGAACGTAGCGGACCGGTTCAGTGAGCCAGGGAGAGGGAGCGTACCAACAGCACACAGAGGACGGGGAGCCGATGACGCCGAAACAAAAGTTGCGACAGCGCAAGCGGATATGGTATTTTGTTCGTATGAGATCGGGCCTTTGGATGAGCTGCGCGGCTGCTCGCGAGGCGCGCCTCTTTGTTTGTGCGCCATACGACCCTGTTGCTCGGATCTTTATGCATGCGCCAGCCTGGTGGGGCAACGTTAGCTACGGACAGTACGTGCTTCAGATGATCTGCTACCAGCTGTGGCCGGTCAAGCCGCTCGGTGACACGCTGTTCCCCTTCTTCATCTTCTTGCTTTCGCTTTCATGGCTCTCCGCGCAGCTCATCATCGTGCCAGGTCAACGTTGGTGGCTCAAGCAGGCCCCTCCCAGGGCATGGCGCTTGGTCGCGCTGCCTGTCGCTCTCGCGTGCTTTCTTGGCGGCGTCACCGCGCTCTACGATCTGCTCCGCACGAAGGACGCCTATGCGCCAGCACCGCCGTTTGTGCGGGTGGCCCCAGAGTGCGTTGATGTGAAGCTCAACTGGACTTCGACCTTCGAGAGTGATAGCCGGGCGCTCATCAACCCGTCGATCCTCGTTTATACGAACGGCATGGGTGACACACGCCTGGTTCGTGCTGCTCGGGCGCATGCGCTGCACGAGACGACCCAGCCAGCGCTTTGGGATGTCGATGGTGTGACGAGGGAAGTCACCCAAGTCACTACACGCTGGGATTCGGATATTGTGCTGCAGGATGGCCCGGCGCCCTCGTTCCACGGCTGGGACCCTGAATCGTGGGGCCTCGACGGCACAGCACCGCTGAGCCTCGCGGCGCTCGGCGTGCGCCTGACAGGCGAGGGCGCCGGGAGCTGGGCGCCACTGGCCGAGGGTGCGCCGCGTTTCATCGCCGAGAACATGACACTCATGCGTCGAGTCGTGACCGGGCCCGAGGACCCGAAGCTATTGGGGCTGGGTGGACCCCGGTGGGGGGTCGTCTTCTCGAGCCTGCCGCCGCGGGCGCACGGCAACAATGATAGTACAGCCAACGGCAGCGCGACGGTGCAGATGCACATGGCGCACGACGGTGCCTCTCTGGCATCCTCTGACGTTGGCGCCGTGGGTATGCGGCTCGACTGCGGCGAGACGACGCGTCCTGAGAAGAATTGGATCGGCTTTACCGCCGCGGGCTCGCTCTACTTTGTCTACTCGGTTGAGCCACACGTCGTCGTCAACGCCCGCGCCGCCGACGGCGCATGTGTGCAACGCTATTCGTCAAGCTACCCGCCTCTGTCGAATTTAGCCTCGGTGAAGGGCATTGCATTGCATGGCTCGGGTACGGCGACGCGGTACGATCGCGACGGCGTCGAGAGCTACCTCGCTCTCTTCCACGCGCTCGACTCCAACAGCGGTCGGTACACCACCTTCGCATACACCTTCGCCGCGGCACCCCCATTCAACGTCCTCTCAGTCAGCGCGGCTCTACCATTACAAGGATCAGGCCACGCGAACTTTGCGAGCGGACTGCTACCACGCTCTGAGGATGACGCGTCCCATTCGGCGTCGTCCGAAAAGAAGATCGTGGTCACCTATGGCGCCGCCGACGCGGAGGCGCGCGCCTTGGTCTTTTCGGAGACGTATATGGCGGAGATGTTCTGCCTGGCCACGTACTTTTGTGCGCCTCGGACCCCTTGAAGCTTGATGGTGGTGTGCGCTGGCTGGAAGCTTGTGGCACTCTCCCATGATCGTGAGGGTGAGAGAGAGCGAGGGTATATGAGCATGACACACGTCTCCACAGCATGTCGTAGCATGTGCAGCACGGGTGAGAGAGAGCGAGGGTATGTGAGCATGACACACGTCAACAGCATCATGTCGTAGCACGCGAGATGTATCGTGTGCGGAGTCTCCTGTGCTTTGGAGTTAGTCGGACAATAGTCGGGTCTCCCTCGGCATGCTCCACAAATCCCAAGCACCACCCTGCGCCGCCGTCGCCGCCAATATGGCAATGCCCATGGGGGGACGGCACGCCGCCACCACACAGGGATTTTAAGGCGAGGAGTGTGGTGCGCTAGCCGTCGCCCATCCTTCCTTTCGCGTCTGCTTCTTCCTATCTCTCTTCACAGTCCCTCGCCGATTCTCGCTGCAACCTTCATGCTACCTCGCGGTCGTCCCACTCTCGTCGTTCTCTCTCCTGCCGCTTCGTCCTCTGTCGCAGCGTCTCTTGTCCTTTTCGCCTGCGGGGAAACGTTCTCGTTCATTGGTTCGCTTCCACTCCGGCCCGCTCGGCGCTCACCTAGTTCTAATAATAAACCCACAACTGTTGCGTGCCACACCCCTATCTCAAGGGGTGGGATTTCTTCTCTGATCTGATCGCCAAATTGCTCGCTTTATCAGCGTCCCATCCTGCCACGCCCTGTCTCAGTCGTTGCTGAATACATGCCCTCATCAGTCAGCAAAGAGGAATCAGACGACGACGTGCCTCCACCGTCGTACGGCGACGCCTCACGCTTCGGTCAGCTTGGCCATTCCGAAAGCACGCTTACCAGGGCGCCCTCGGACGCTCACGAGCGCCTTGCACGAGTGATCGGTGAGCCTCCAAGCCTCGCTGTAAACGATCCAGCTGTGGTGCTCGCTGTGCCAACACAGCGGCAACTGCACGTCAGCGCGCAAGCGAGCCGTAACCAGCGGGGCATGTGTTGCTGCTTCTTCATCCTCGCCGCTTGTATCGTTTGCGGCGTCTGCCTTTGGGTTGGCTTCCGAGAGCCACAGCGGTGTGACGGCACCAGCCGCAACGCATGCGAATCGTCTCTGACCGTTCAGCCACCGCCGCCGCCCTGGTGGATATTGAGCCCGCCGCGGCCATCCCCACCGCCCTGGTGGACTGTGAGTCCGCCGCCACCGCCCGCCTCTTCCCCGTCCTGCCCGTGCGCCGAGGTGATCGTCGGCGGCGCAGCAACCCTTGTCGCTGCCGGTGCGGTAGGAATCTTTTCTCCCAACGGTCAAACCGACGACGGTCGCAATATATACGTCAGCGAATCGCAGCGGCATGTTCTTTACTTCACAGGCCCCCCCTGGCACGGCTATTGGCAGTGGCGGTTGATCGACGTGGGGAATAGGGTTGTCGTGGCCTTCGCAGGCTCCACCAAGCCGTGCCCAGTAGCCGTGGGAAGCTGGAGCATTCGGAGGGAAGACGCTGACGCGAGCTGCTACGACACGAGCTGCTATGATACTTTCGCCTCAGAAATAGCTGCATGCCCTCCACCACCGCCCTTTTCACCCGGGAAAGCACCGAAGCCGCCACCGCCAACACCGCCGCCAACGCCGCCCCCGTCAATGGCCGCCTCACAATACTTGGCCACGCTCGACCTGAGCACGGTCTCCATTAGCAAGGAGGTGACCGTCGACTCCATCATCAAGGCGATCACCGCAGGCATCGTCAGCCAGAGTGAGCCAGCGCAGCTGTCCATCGACGTGCTCCAGAAGTTCGTCGTGGTCGCCCGGCAGATGGACCTGGCCGATGATGATTTCGAGGAGGCCCTGTGCAGCGCAGACGACGACTACGACCCGGACCGATGCAGCGCGACACAGATCGCGGCGGCGTCGCCATCCGCGCCACCAGCGCAGCCGCCACCAGCGCAACCGCTGGTCGGGCGGCGCTTGCTCTCGCTCTCCCGGCGGCGCTCACTCAGCGTCGCGGGAGGCGCTCAATGGGACATGCGGGCGAGGCTGGTGAACACGTCGCGCAGGATCTTGCAGCCTCCCGACCTTGGCGACTTGGCCGAGGCGGTGAAGCTGGATGCGGTGATCATCGAGATCGAGACGCTCGTCCTGCCTTCGTCGCCGGACAGCCTCGTCGACGACGTGAGAGATAGCGGCAGGATCAGCGCAGAGGTGGTGCCAAACGTGCTGGCGGCACTGCTAGACCTCACCAACTTGACAAACGCCACCGACCCATTCAGCTTCATCACCAACGTCACCACCTACCTCTTTCCGCCAGCCACGCCGCCGTCGCCACCGATGACGCCACAGCCGCCATCGCCGCCACCCCTGCCTCCATCGCCGCCCTCCCCCCCATCGCCGCCGCCGTCACCGCCCTCCCCGCCGCCGCCGCCGCCAGCGCCGTCGCCACCGCCGCCTCCAAGCCCACCCTCCCCGCCGCCGTCGCCGCCGTCGCCGCCACCCGCACCGCCGTCGCCTTCGTCGCCGCCCTCCCCCCCATCGCCACTTTCGCCACCGTCGCCATCGCGCCACCGTCGGATTCTGACGAGTGGGACTTGAGAGTGTGTGTCTCTCTCTCACCCCGCGTCTCTCCGGGCTGCGCTCTCCCCGTCTCTCACCCCGCCGTCTACATTCACGTGAGAGGCCAGCCATCTGCCTGTCCATTACCGCGCGTAGGACACTGCATGTGTGCCCTAGAGAAGGGCACAGCCGCGCCGCGATAGAGCGCGCCCCCCTGACCGCGGGCCGGGGCCGAATTGTGTCTCCGCGCCCTCCGAGGCGCGGTCTCGGTGTCGCTTCCGCCGCTGTTCACTATTTTTATGTGCATTAAGCTGTCTAATGAGTGCCCCCGGTGCCTGGGTGCGGCTGCGCTTGCGGGTAGCGGCGCGGGGCGCCGTCGCGCGCGTCTCCGACGCGCCGGCCCACGAACGGCGAACCGCGCGTTCCGGGGGGCGTGCGGTTCGGCCGTGGGAGGCCTCTCGCGCCCCGAGGTCGGCCTCGACGCGGCTTCCTCGGGCCGGGCCCGTCGCCCCGCACCACCAGACGGTGGCGGGTACCCTCCCCGCCCCCTCCCGCGCTCAGGCGGCGCCGCTGAGCCGCCGATACGCAATTCGCAACATATGGTTAGATGGACTCTCCCTTCTGCAGCCCTAGCCAGTTCTTGGTGGTCCAAGTCACCTACCTCATCGAGGTACTGGGCCCGCGTCAGTTTGTTCTGCTCTTCTGCACCCTGCAGCACCTTCGCCGCCTTCCAGAGGATCTCGCCGACCCCTTCCCGAACCCACCGAACGACTCGAACAGCAGCAGCTGCACGTCGACGTCCTTGTCCCCCGCTAGCGCCGCCACCGGAGAAAAGAATTCAAAAAGGCCGGCTACCACGTTGCGACAGCCGACAACCGACTCCTCATCGCGAAATGCTCCTCGTCCTCGCTACCAGCGCTTCGCTTCACACCGCTGCGCGCGCGCGGCCACCGACGTGCGTGGCGACCGCTCCGCCGGTCGGCACCTCGTACGACACTGGCGCCTTTGACGCGGCCGTCATGAAGACGTGCGCCGGCTGCAACCCGTGTGTGGTGGGGCCCGCGGCCTCGCCGACCGCGCGCTGATCCCACGCAGGTATAACCGGTACCCGCTCGCGGTTGCTGGCGGGGAGGGCTGCGAGCTCGTTGATCTCGACGGCCGGCGGTACCTCGACTTTGCAGCCGGCATCTCGACGTGCACACTCGGCCACGCAAACCCGAAGCTCGCGGCGGCGGTGGCGGCGCAGATGGGGCGGGTGAACCACGTGTCGAATCTGTACTATATCCCCGAGCAGGGCGAGCTCGCGCAGCGCCTCGTCGCCACCTGCAATCTCGACAAGGCGAGAGAAGCTGCCAACCGCGCCGCGCAGTCTCCTTGACTCCAAACACCGGCTCCTCCTCTCTCACCCGTCGGCGGTTCATAGACCGGCCGGCTCCTCCCCCCGTGGACCGGGCGTCTCCCACCAGCCGCACAAGCGCGCGCCCATCACACCCAACCAGGCCTCGGCCCGTGCCTGTGAGGTATCCATGGCGCGCGACAGTCCAACACCGCACTGGCTCTCCGCAGCCGCCGCTCCGCATCCTCCGCCCCTCGACAGCACCCCTCCTCTCCGCAGCCCGCCACCCTCCACGGCGGCCCCTCCTCCACGGCCCGACTCCCCCCCCCCCCCCCCCTCTTCCGCGGCCCCGGCGCCGCGCCGCCGCCGCCGGCGAAGGGTTTTTTTTGGAACTCTGGCGAAAAGGCCAACGAAGGGTGCATCAAAGCTC